ACAAGGTTCCTGGGATGCCACCCTAGGAAACAGCCAAGAGCAGGAGGAATATCACCACAGCTACCATGTATGGAGCACTCACTCGATGGCAGGCGCTGTACTAAGATTTTGAATGGCTCTGATTTATTACCCACAACCGTCAATTGTGTTAATTGACCATTGTACAAAAGAGTCCCCCTCTTGGGAGAAGTGGGCAGGCCAATCATGTTTAGCAGCACAGAGTCTGTACTCCTTCCTCTCCAAGCCCAGGCAAACAATCCCCAATCAGAAAACCTGTGATTTCTGCTTTAGAAATTCCAGAATCTGTGGGCCCTTTAATCAAGCCTTTCTTCCTACCGTTATCACCAGCTGGATTTTAGTAAGTACCATGGAGCCCACTGAAATTTATGCATCCAGTGGAGAAGAATGAGCCTCAGGACATTTCAGGACTCATCTTCTGTTACATCTTCCCTGAAGAGGAGGCAAGGAATATTCAGACATTTTTTCTTACTCACAGAAGTTTTATTTAGGTGGACACAACAGTGCAGAACCAAAACAGCATTTCACCTTTGTCTATGGACACTACAGCCTTGATTTTAGCTTGTCATCCCTCCTTAAAAGAAGTCAGCACAACCAGAAGGAAGATCTTGGACAATTGGCATATGTGGGAATGAATACAAAATACAAGAGTGATAACCACCCAAACAGAGAGCTTTCAAGGTGCTCGTACTGGTTTTAAGGATCATTTTCTAAACCATGGTATGTTCTCATCCTTTGTGGAGTAGAAGCCATCATTCTTTCCAAATGACACAGCAAAAAGAACATACATATTTTCCTTTAAAAGTTTTGAAGAAATTTAGTCATTAGAAAGAATTTAAATTATACCCAGAAGCACCACTTACAGAATACCATTACATGTACTTAGGATGCTTTTAAAAAAGCCACCTTGTTACAGAGGAGCTGATGGCTTCAGTTTTGTGGGGACATTTGTGGTGCTGTAGAACTCTGCAAGATTTCCTCTTCTGGTGGGCAGCGGGGAAGCACTCAAGGCACCAGAAGCTTTTATAACTTTCAGGAACTTGAAGAACAATTACTGATCAAGTCGCATGCTTTAAGTGACAACGCATTTTCACTGCTCAAAAGAGAACCCAGAACACAAAACATTTCATTCCAAGCAGGCAAAACCAATCACAGATGAACATTGATGATATTCCACAAATAACACAGTATCATCTTTCTTTAAAGGTTTCACTTTACTTGTGAAAAACAGAGCCCAAAGGCCAGTGACTGCCCAGAAGCTAGTTCATTCAATGCCCCGAGATGAAACCTCAATTACTGACAACTGCACATTTCAATCAACAACCCTTTTCATGAGGTTCTGCTGGGAAATTACGGAGACCGGGACCTCTAAAACGTTAGTTGCCCTAATCATTGCAGGGCATCACTGATCTTGTACTGAACTTGGAAAGTGGTCATGACTAGCTCCACAATAAAAATCTAAGAACGGTCACTACTTATCTGTAGAAACCTATTCATCTGCAGAAATAGATCCCCCCCGCCCTCCGACCAAGAAGCTAAGTGAGCTCCCTTCCCCTCTCCTGCAGAGAACCCTCTGCGGTTTAAAATCAAATCACAGTTGCCAACAAATGAGGAGTTATCACGCTGGTGTGTTTATGGATTCAACAAACATTTGAGAATGCCTACTACATGACAATCATTGTTTTAGGAGCTTCGGGTACAGCAGTGGATAAAAACTCCCATCCTTATGGATTTTCAATTTACCCTGGACCGACAATAGCAAAATAAACCAAACATGCACGCATTTAAAAAAAAGTGTGCACCTGCCTCTAAGAGCTGAACTAGTTCTCCCAGGAACAAGGCCCAGTGCCCTGCGGTCCTACCCTGGCTCATTATTGGATAGGAGAGGATACGCAGTTAACAGGCTGCTTCCACAAATGAGGCATGAACACGCCACAAGACCCACCACATGCCTGGAAGTTCCCAGCTTCCTCACAGGACCACTACGAAGCAGGACAAAGCGTTTTACAAGTGTTGGTCCACTCTCCTCACACTCCAGTGAGGCTGCACGGGGACAATGACTCGGATCTGGAATAAGTAACCCCTGGTGGCCAGGGAGAGAACAGCGGTCAATGCCAACTGCCTGCCCAATCCAGGCTACCCACGCCAACTCTTGTAACTTTCCCATCTGACTTTAGAAAATGAAGTCGGCTACTCAATAGGTACACTTCACTCAAAAGCAAGCCTTCCACTGAGGCTCACTGTGGAAACACAAGGGCAGTGGGGGCCTCCACACTGCTGTGCGGTGGCCTTTGGCCATTAAAGCACAGCTTAACCCTGGGAGCGTGGGCTGTGACCCTGGAAAGTTGGCTTAGTATATGTGTAGATCTGAAAAGAAGGTATATAGCTTTTAAAAAATATTTCCAAGGGAGTTTGTAACCTCCCAGAAGTTTAAGGACCTCTGTATTGAAGGGTCTCTGCAGTCCCTTGGTAAAACTATACATGCAACTGGTCACTGCATTCAGAATGAAGGGCCCAGGCCCAGCTGCAACATGGGAGCTATGAGCCTAGTTCAGAGGCTGCCTGGTGGTTTACTAGGCAGACCTGGGTCAGAGGGTCAGAGACAAGGTCAAGTGCTATCTCCTTTTATAGAGCAATGAATGTCTCCTCACCCTCAGAAATCTGGCTGCTCAAATTAGTTTGCTAAGCCAGTAACTCACAGTGGAAGGGATGGGTTAACTTTCCTAGTAACACTTTTTTCCAAGCAAAAAGGTATGCCATCCACCTCAGCTTCCTGGCATCATGACTGTTGTTCTCAGGGAACCAGCCCATGGGCTTGTCCTCCCCACCCCATGCCAGGTCAGGGATGAAAGGTGATTGGAGTGATTGGAGCTCTTGACTGTTCAAAATCACCATCTATGTCATGGTTGGGTCCAGGCTTCAACCTGGGGGGCACGTGGCTATAGAGCCTCTGGGGAAAACTGTAACTAGTCCAGGGGTGGGCAAACTTTTTGACTCAAGGGCCACAGTGGGTTCTTAAACTGGACCGGAGGGCCGGAACAAAAGCATGGATGGAGTGTTTGTGTGACTAATATAAATTCAAAGTAAACATCATTACATAAAGGGTACGGTCTTTTTTTTTTTTAGTTTTATTCATTTCAAACGGGCCGGATCCAGCCCGCGGACCGTAGTTTGCCCACGGCTGAACTAGACTCTCAAAACCATCAGCCACAGACACTGTGAAAAAGAGAAAAATGACAGGGTATTTCCCAGGAGCTTGGAGCACCCGCTGTACGTTTTCTGTAAGAGCCTTTATTGCGGCTTGTCTTCTTCTTGCACCTGCCTCTGTCTTCCCTGCCTTTTACTAGACTCTGCACTCAAAGATGGGGACCTGTCTTTTTCATGCCCACGTAGTCGGTGACTTGACTAGTGTCACAGACCCTCTCAGAGCTCAGAGAGTGGGAACGGGGACATGAACAGAAGCCAGTTATAACTCTGATGGAAGGATGACACAAGGCGGGACTTAAGAGAATTCCTGTCTCCTAAATAATGTATCCACTTTACAGCTTTAAAACACTGCAAATCAGGAAAGATTTGGCTTTCTACAGAAAAGATGAGGCTTTTTGAGAGAAAACCATCGTGTAGAAAAGTATATATTTTCAAATTATAAAAAGCAATGAATGCAGAGTATAGTGATTGAACATCTCAGATACAATGACATGAACATGTAGCAAAATTGGTTACTTCAATAGATCACTGCCATTTCCACTATAATTTAATGGTAATAAATATCACATAATAAGAATAATTTAAAGCATTAATTGCATCCTTGATTATTTATTATTAGCTCTCCCTTGCAGAAACCATCACAGAAGCACAAATGAAACCTGCCTTTGTGAATATTCTGAAAGACAAAGAGCAGCTTATGTAACTTTTGTTCTTCACAAAACCATCATTACATCAGGTCAACACTGTCCCTAAGAGCCACATGTAAACTTTGAGGTTCCTGAGGATTGCTCGCATTAACAATGTGTTCACTTTCTAAGAATGAAGATGGAGAGGTCCACAGATGTCATTTTTCAAAAGTCTGTATAAAATGTAAACATAGTTAGGATGTCTTTACATGGTCAGAATTGGTTAGTTTTTATATATTCTTGGCTTGATAATGTTTACAAAATAATGCTTGGGTTTATAATATGTACCCTTTTGTCACATTTATTCTGTAATTCTCCATCAGTGTTAGAATGTTCTTCCCAAATGGCCTCAATTCTGACACCATATGACACTAAATTTAAATAAATGTATAAAAGATGTGCTTAAATATAAATAAAATACACTGCTAAGCTGTGCTGGCTCCAGACACACGGTATGGCAGCTGTCATATGTTCTGATCACAGTAGGCAAAATGTCCCTCACTTTAGGCATTTGGCATTCAGTTAATTTGTTTAAGTAACACCCTGTTTCAAATGCTTCTGCTAAGAGGGGCTGTGCTGTGAATGCCCCTTGGACCGTGCCTGAATCAACCTGTGCTGAATGTTCGGATTTCCCCATGGGCTCTTTCAGAAGCATTCTTTCCGGGACAGAAGTCACAATTCAGTACCCTTTAGACTCTGTCTTATACACTAACTTGTCGGGCAGAGCAGTGCATGGGTGGGTGCCCTCCATACAGGCTGCAACCAATAGCGGTTGGCGTGGTTAGCCAAGGCTCTCAGGTGGCAGCGCCGAGAGAGCCAGGGGTGTGCATTTCTCCCAGTTCAGGACAAGGCCAAGAGCAGGTCCACCTCTGGGCCCAGCCAGTGGACGTGTTTCTTGTCCAGCAGTCATGAGGGCAGGTAGGAGATTCATACTGAAGTGTATTCTGACATGCTTATTATTATTTCACAAAACAAAACACTTTCCCGAGGTCCTCGCTTTCCCGTAGCTCTGAGTCTCATCGCACCACCTATACAGAAAGGTGTTGCTTTGAGGCACTCAAAGGGCTAGCACTCTTACTCTGATTAATCTTTCCACTTTTCACCTGATGAGAGCTCACGTACTTGCTGTGGCTTCTTCATCTCTGCATTGCCTCTCAAAGGAAGTGCACGAACGGCTCTCGCACAGCATGCGGAGGGCCGTCATTTTCATTAGGGACTCCGTAAGTCGTGTCTGCCATTACCAAGAGCCATTTACTGCAAACCAGATGAAACCTCACAGAGGCGCTGCGGCCAAAATGAATCCCACGCCACAGGAGTCATGGCCCTGAAGTTCCTGAAAACGTTCATCAGCAAGAAGAATCCAGGAGTCTCTGTCGAGCATTCCTCTCCCCATTATTTGCTTTAGTTTCACTGTGTGCATTCAAATCTGTCAAAATGGAAAGCAAATATCTGTGACAGAAGTCACATAGCACAAATCAACTTCTCGGCCGCTACACATCTATCTCATGTTCTTTGCCTTAGCCAATTTCACTGCATAGTGAAGTTAGGTCAGGGCAACAATTAAACCAATACACTGTCATCCCCCTTCACTCCCCCCCCCTTTTAAAAATATTTCTATTGATTTCAGAGAGGAAGGGAGAGAGAGAGACAGAGAAGAATCATTGATCAGCTGCCTCCTGCATGCCCCCTACTGGGGATCAAGCCCACAGTCAGGGCATGTGCCCCGACTGTGACTTCCAGGTTCATAGGTTGACACTCAACCACTGAGCCATGCTGGCCAGGCTTTTCATTCCTTTTGAAAGAGACAGAGCATGAGAGACAAAAGGATCAGAGGCACAGGAAGAAAAGCCAATAAAACAAGACCAAAATATAAGCAAGAATGACAGCAAGGGGGAGCAAGAGGCAGAGTATGAAATGGAGAGAAGGAGAAGGAAGAGAGAACAGTCTAGAACAGTGGTTCTCAACCTTCCTAATGCCGCGACCCTTTAATATAGTTCCTCATGTTGTGGTGACCCCCAATTTCATTGTTACAAATTGATCGTAATTAAAACATAGTGATTAATCACAAAAACAATATGTAATTATAGATGTGTTTTCCCATGGTCTTAGGCGGCACCTGTGAAAGGGTCGTTCGACCCCCAAAGGGGTCATGACCCACAGGTTGAGAACCGCTGGTCTAGAAAAAGCACAGCTTTCTTTAATTGGAAATTTGGGCAGCCCCAATTCTTTGCCTCTCTTTCCTAGTACTGAAGGGTTTCACTTAAGAGCACACTAGGAAAATGGTTTAATGCAGAAGGGTGGGGTGGCAAAGACTGTCAATCATTCACGTGAGTTCTCTCAGATGAAAGCTAACCCTACCTTTGAGCTCTGCCATCTGGTTCCCCTGCTGCTCTCCCGTCATCTCAGGCGGCTTGCGAGTTTTGCCGTCAACACCGTCCATCTTGATCATGCCAAGATTAGTCAGGAGAACCATTGTGTCGATGCCCTGATAGCTGCTTTTAATATTCTCCAGGACCTTAAGCCACTTGTATGACTTGAGTTCACTTATATTCTCCTCCAAGAAAAGGTTGTAGAGGCTCAAGTCATTGTACCCTTCAGACTTGAAATGCAGAACACCAAAAGTGGGCAGGATTTCATACACTTTGAGAACATCTGTCTTCTGCCGGAAAGGAACAAACAGCATGTAGAGAACCACGGGAACCAGCAGAACATAAACCACGAGGTTAATGAAACTGAGCAACTGGAAGATGCCAACTGTGATGAGTTTGCACTGAAACCGATCGGGGACGGTGCTGTCATTTCTCAGGATCCCTGATTTGATGCTGCAGACAAACTCATCTGAGAGGGAGGAGAGGCTAAAGTAATAGCCCAGGTAGACGCATGCTAACAGTATAATGCTGACTGTTAGCACCCGGCAGCTGATGTACTTGACAATTAAATTATTAGAGTTTTTCTTTGTCTTCAAGTACTGTTCCACAATTGGGTACTTGAAGTGGCTTTCAGATATCTCCCACAAACTAGTAAGAAAATAAAAAGCATTTAAACCCTTACCAAGACCATCAAATAGTAAAGACATTAACACATTCAACAATATCACACTAAACACCTCAAACACCTTCCTTCCCAAACTCCTCTATTTATAACTTCACTCATGTACAAGAGAATCAAATCAGGTTTGAAAAAGCAAAGAATGAAAAGCAATAATAAAACACCGTTCCCCTTAATATTTTAAAAAAGGTCTACTTAGTTAAGTGAGTTACATTTGTAAATTCTTTGAACACCTGTTACCTAGTGAATGTACATGTTTGTTAAATAAATTTGATAGTTCTTATTCTGCTGCTTTTTTTAAACGGTAATTTTCTGCTCAAATGTGCAGAATAAAGTGAAGAAGAATTTTCTGGCCTGGCTAGAACACACGTGCTTCCCGCTGGCAAGGGAGGCAGGCAGACCGCTGAGGGGGTATGGGTCCAGGCTGTGGGCCAACAGACCTGGCCCAGGCCCAGGCCCATCTTGCCCACTGATTGCTACAGGACAGTGTTTTTATCTGCAAAGGGGGAAAGGGAGATAAATAAATGCTCTTGATGCTCTGAGGATTAAGTGAGATCATGTACTTAGAGAACTCAACACGATGTCTGAAATAGATTAAGTATTTTTTAAATGAGAGCTATTAATACTGTTACTATTGTTAATAACAAGAATCAGAGGAAGGTGGGAATGCAGACTGGTGCAGCCACTATGGAAGACAGTATGGAGTTTCCTCAAAAAGCTACAAATGGAACTCCCATTTGACCCTGTGATCCCACTTCTAGGAATATATCCCAAGAAACCAGAAACACCAATCAGAAAGGATATATGCACCCCTATGTTCATAGCAGCACAATTCACCATAGCTAAGGTCTGGAAACAGCCTAAGTGCCCATCAGTAGATGAATGGATTAGAAAACTGTGGAACATCTACACGATGGCATACTATGA